TCAATAAGCAATCCTGAAAAATATTTGGGGGTTAAAATTTTTTTCAGGTGTATATATTCTGAAAACTAAACATTGTCACCAGGATCTTTTTCTAACCAAGAATGACCCAGAAAGAGATTTGAAAGCCCATTTAACTTTAATGTATATGCTCCATTCTCCAACATTTGGTGTGTTTGTAGAGCTGGCATTCAGCTCCAGATACATTGCCTGAGTTGTAATATCCATGAATATGTAATTTCCTAAAAAATAAGAGGTGGGCTTGAGTTTGTATATTTTTCCAAGGGTACACGTGAAAGGGACACCTTAAAAGACCAAATGGCTCTTTGTTGTTCATGTGTTATCTTATTTATTTCGCTAAGCTCCAATATTAGTATAGTTTAGAATTTTGTGTACTATTGCACAATCAGTTACTCTGACTATTAGTAACTTATTATTTCTTTAAGTTCTTGGTTCAGCAAGACTTCATAAAAAAAAATGTTGTAATGGCACCCACAGCTTTATTCTTCTGATGTTTGTTAGTCATTGTAATTAGATACAAAATAGTTGCCATGTTCTAGTGAAGTACAGAAATGTAATAAATATTTAATGAACTTGTAATTATGTTGTGTGTTGGAATATACTAAAATGAAGAAAATTGGATAAGTATGAAATTAAAAAGAGTGTTAGATAAATAATTTTTTTAATATAGGATGAATGGAAAAGATCCATAACATGGAATTCTTAATGTATTCCCAATTAGAAACATTGCCAAGCTTTTTACTTATATAAATTGAAATGTGCTACTAAGAATGTCACAGAAAAATTAATAGTACAAATTGATAATCAGGTATAATAGTTTTTATATAATAAGATGGAGTTATTAAAAATAAATTTTGTATTACTTGTTAAAAGATAATGTATAATGAAAGAACTCAAGAATATCTGAATATGTATTTTGCAAATATGAATTGACTAGCAAGACTTTGTCTCATTTTGCTTTATTCAGGTTTTTATTACAATGTATCCAATAGTAAAGTATCATTAAAACTTCCAAACTGAATGAAATAGGTAATAATAAGTAAAGGGAAAAAATTCAAGCATTTTTTCATAAAAGTGTTTTGATTAAGTAGTTTTATTTTAATTTTTTCTGATTGGTGGTGGTTTTCAAGAAGTATAACTGGATCAGTAGGTGTTTGTTAAACCAAACATACAGTGATCTTTAAAAATATCTAAAGCTCATCATGTTTGCACAAAAAATGTCTGTATTGAGCTTTTAAAGAACCTGTTTCAAGATTCTTTAATTAAATTGTGCAAGATTAAAAATCCCCTGTAACAAGTTTGCTTAGGATGCAAAACCAAATTTTTATATTAAATTTTTTTGTGTGTTAGAAATATTGATAAGTATGTGTTGTTACGAGTAACCAATCTAATTGTTATATATTACCAAAATAATTTCTATGTGTATGTACATAATTTTTTTTGCATATTAATTTCTCACTAATTTGCAGTGAGGGGCTTGATCTTTTAACTTTTGTTTGACAGATATCACCAGCTTGAGGACTGATTTTTGGCCAGTGTTTGTACTTTAAAAACAGCCAAAAAATTTTGTGAATATGTAAGTACCAGCTAAAAAATTTATATATAGATGAAAAAGAGTTTGGGCTTATCCGTATGGCTGCCTCTAATTCAGTGCAAGTGCTTGGGAACTTGTAGTCTGTCTCGGGCATGTCCACGGATCTTACGAACAAAACATTTTCACAAAACTATTTATATTTCATCTGAACACAGGGTGAATGACTGTTTATTACTTGATGTTTAATTTAAGAAGTTTGGTTTTTAAAAACAGTAGAACTTTTCATGTAATTGTTAAGAGCTTTTTGACATCTTTGCACAAATTCTGTGAGTATTTCTTGAATTAAGGACAAGTGTTTCAAGCTAAACTAAAGACATGTTTTACTCAAAACAGTAATCAACTGTAGTTTTATTACGAAAATGTGATCGATTATATTTAAACATAAAATGTAACAGCTTTCTTTAAATTTTTTTAAACAAAACCCACTGACCTAAGCAGTTAATTATACTATCAAGACGAGCCCACCGAAATCAACAGTTAATTGTAAAAATGCTGATCAACATTTTGTGCACATACAGGACCAAATTTATGATTTAGTTATGGACATTTAACTGTTTTATATGTAGTTTTAAAATATTTCAAGATGGCTGCATAAATTACCACAGACAATTTTTTTCACCTAAATTAATAAAATTTATAGAGTTTTAGTGATAACCTCACTGTTCATAAGGGCTAATATGGTGAATGGGTAGTACTCGGCTGGTGTGGGCTTTGGTACATAATCTGTATGACTTTACTTGTTCAGAAAATAGCCTAGATCACAGATGTACTTAAAATATGGGACAGAAGGTGTTTTTTCTTTTGTGTATAAAAAATATTTAATAAAAAAGTACTTGATTTTCATTTATCCAATAGTTTGATAATATAGAACCCTATTGCAGAATGGATTATTTAAATTATAAATTTTTTGGGAGTATTGGAAAGTGTAAAAAGTATCTTTTTAGAATTAGAAGTGATGGCAGAACCTGAACAGACTCGTGAGTGTGATGTAAATGGAGGAAATGATTTCCAGTGGCCATGGGCAGAGCAACATGATTTAGGTTCTGACACAATGGACCTTTATACTGCAGCTAGCTTAGGAAAAGAAGACTGTGTTAAGAAATGTTTAGAAAGGTAAATTATTTTCAAGTCTTCTAATAGTCTACTGTTTAGAGAAGAAATTCTCAAGCTTTTATATCACTGAAATACTTTGTGTATAAAATACAAGCTTTTCTTTCAGAATAACAAAGTGAGAAATTAGGAAACAATAAAAGAAGTTAGATACAGTGTTAATTATCAGTAATATCCACATACTTTTTTTTTCTTAACAGTTCATTACAGAATTTTTACTGTAAAGTAATTGACTTATTATATATAAACTTGTTACTGTAAAGTTATTGACAAATTATAAATATTTGTTACTGTAAAGTTATTGACTTACTATAAATATAAGTTGTTACTGTAAAGTTATTGACTTACTATAAATATAATTTGTTACTGTAAAGTTATTGACTTATTATTTATAAACTTGTTACTGTAAAGTTATTGATAAATTATAAATATTTGTTACTGTAAAGTAATTGACTTATTATATATAAACTTGTTACTGTAAAGTTATTGACAAATTATAAATATTTGTTACTGTAAAGTTATTGACTTATTATATATATAAACTTGTTAATGTAAAGTTATTGACTTATTATTTATAAACTTGTTACTGTAAAGTTTTTGACTTATTATTTATAAACTTGTTACTGTAAAGTTATTGACTTATTATTTATATAGCTTTCAAAATCACATTTATTGTGTGTATATATATACATACACCAGTTATAACTTGCTCACTACCAAGTCTGATTTTGCACAAGAAGCTCTAGTTAAATACTAAGTTACATAGTTTTATTGCAACATGAACAGTCAGTGGTAAAATGCTGACCTGTGAGTGAATATAAATAAAAGCCTACTACTTCTAATTATTACATGGCTAGAATTTAGATAGTAGTTACAGCTTATTACATGGCTAGAATGCT